GTGTGAGAGGGACGCACATGAACAAGACTCCAGCTCTGGCCTCGAGGACAGAGACAAATGCGCTGGTAGAGTTGTATTCATTAGTGTTTCTGTGGGGGGTGGGAGGGGTGAGGGAAGGCTTTGGAAAGGAGGTGGCCTTTGAAGCCCCCTGAAGGGAAAGGAGGAATTCCACCGACAGGCAGCAGGAATGGCATCCAGACAGAGGGAACAGCATGAACAAATATGGAGGGTTGCCATGCCGGTCAGTGCTGGGGAGGTGAGTAGTCTGGTGGGTTATAGCTCAGATCTGGGGGGGGGGGGGGTGGGCAGGGCAGGGACGGACAAGCAGAGCAGAAGGGCCCATTCATCTGAACTGTGGCCACAGTTGGGTGGGTCTGGACTGTGACTGAGAAGTCTGGGTTGTCCTGCTTTTATACACACACACACACACACACACACACACACACACACACACACACACACACCTGGCCTCTAGTATGCATATAAGATCTTTGGTTAATCTCTTCCCACCCTCCCCTCTGAAATTCATCAGTCTGTTCCATGTTTCCATGCCTGTGCGTTGAGGGTCTGCTCCCTGGTGGTCAATGCACATCATAGCTAAGGGTCGAACAGTCAAACGGTCAGATGGTTGCTTAGGCTTTTATATGTATAGATGTATCTATCTATCTATCTATCTATCTATCTATCTATCTATCTATCTATTGATTTCAGAGAGGAAGGGAGGAGAGAGAGATAGAAACATCAATGATGAGAGAGAACCATTGATTGGCTGCCTTCAGCATGCCCCACACTGGGGATTGAGCCCACAACCCGGGCATGTGCCTTGACTGGGTATTGAACTGTGACCTCCTGGTCATAGGTCGAGGCTCAACCACTAAGCTATGACAGCCGGGGAGAATCTGGGTTTTATTTGATAAGTTGAGGGAGCTGTTGGAAGCGCTTTGGCAGGGGAGGCATGGTCAAGGCTGTGGCATCCACAGACTACTTGGCACAGAGAGCAGCCCCACGGGAGGAGGGCCTGGGGTCTGGCAGCCAGCAGGAGACGGCTGCAGCAGCCCAGGACGGGGAACAGGCTGCTCGCTGAAGGGGCAGATCTGAGTGAGGTAGGGACTCAGTGGGACTGTGTGAGGCTGGCGCTGGGGATGAGGAGGGGTGGCCCAGGGTGACTCCTGGGAGCTTGTTTTGGGTGCCTGAATACCCAGGGGAGAGTGGGCCAGATAAGAAGTTAGACAGGACTTTTGGGTTTGTGATTCTGGTAGCGGAAAGGCTCCGTGTGTATGCTGGGAGGTGGGGGGGCTGGAGCCAGGGATGCATGATCTCCTGGAAGATCCTGGATTTTGGATCAGAGATAGAGAGCACGCAGAGAAAGAGCAGGGAGAGGCCAGCACCCCCACACACACCCCCTGCCCCCCCAGCCTGGAAACCGGCACTTAGGGGCGGGCACTAACTCATTATCCTGCCCCCTCTCTGCACACCAGTACTCAGGCCTTCCTCCTGCTCCCTCATGCTGTTCCCTGTCTGGAACATTCCACCCTCCCTCTGAGAGGGTGGAGCCCAGAATGTCCAGGAGGTAGCCGGGCCTGAGGTGCCCACTGTTTACCTAGGAGGGCATGGAGCCAGCTGGGCTCAGAATGGCAGGCAGGGCCAGGCCAGGGCGGAGGGGACTGTGGGCAGGTTGGTGGGCTGCGGGCATGGCTGGGGAGGGACTGATGGGAGAGCTAGCTGAGGATCCAGGGCTCAGGGGCTCTGAGGGAGGGCGGTGAAATCCAGGGCACCAGTAGCCAAGGGCTGGCTTGGGAGAAAGAGTAGAAATTTTTTTTTTCTCTTTCTCAGAGAAGATGGAAGGAGGAAAGGATTGAACGCTATTCTAAGTGGGTGCTAAATTCTTCCCTTTCTTCAGGGTTTCAACAACCAGTCTCCCTGAGGCTGAGACCATCCTATCAGCAACGCACAGCCCAGGAAAACCATTTTCCAGACCATTTCTGCCGGCAGGTTTACTGGGGGAGGGAAGCCCCAGGCCTACAGGGGGGCCCGGACTGCTCTCCAAAATGCAGGGCTTGTCAGCCAACCAATCAGAGCAGCGGAAGAGGAACTTCCCTTCTGGAAAAGGGGGCTTTCTCAGGATCAGAGGTCGCGGGGACCCCCTACCTCCGTGCGGCAGGGCAGGTCCGGGACCTAGAGGAGAACTGGCAGGGCTGCTGGCTGGGTCGCCTTCCCGCAGGTAGAAGGGGAGTTCTGCCCGGGTTTCTGCAACAAGAACCTGCCTGCAGCACCCCCGCCCCGTGGGGGGGGGGGCTCTTAAAAGGGCAATGTCAGAGGCAGAGGTGTCAGCCCCATCAAGCCTCCCCCATTGGAGAGGCAGGGTTGTGCCCCTCCTTTTGTGTGTATCTGGGAGGAGCTTTGGGGGAACCCCACGCTGGGAGGCGAGGGGGGTGGAGCAGGCCCCTCTCCTGGCACAGGCTCTGACATGCAGCGCATTTCTCTGGGCCCATCCCAGCTCCGCCTGTCAGGCTCTTCCCGGGAGCCCGGGAGCCTGGCCAGGGCCAGGGAGGTCTGGGGGTGGGAGGACAGCAGGCTGTCTGGGGACCTGGGTAAAGGAGAGACCTTCAGGGGAGGAAGAGCAGGACAGGTCCCGGGCGAGCTCCCAGGAGAGACTTCACCACTGGGGGTGTGGGCTCCTGGGCGGCCAAGTGACCCTCCCAGCAGGCCGAGTGCAGGCCGGTTCCTTGTTCTCACGTTGGATCCCCTCAGTTGCTGCTTTAGTATCTCTTTCTGGAAGTCTGGCTCCTGGTTGTCTCTATGGCTTGGTAGAGAGAGGCCTGGTGTCTCCTCTCCTGCCCGAAGCACCCAGACCTGCATCTTGGGCCCTGAATTCCTGGGTGTGGGAACCGAGGGTTGGTGAGGGACCCAGGGCAGTGACTCACTCCACTCAGCCTGTGGGGGTTGTTTGCTCACTTAGGTAACTCGGGCGGCCGAGGCTGGAGATGGGGCAGGTCAAGGTGCCAGGGATGAGGGCATCAGCCGTGGGTTGCGGAGGCAACAACTGCCAGGGTGGAGCCCAGGTTAGCTGGGCTCGGTCCCAAGTGCTCGGCTTCCAGGACAGGCAGCCGTTCCTAAACACAACACGCTGGCATCAGCCCGGAGGCTGCAGGGAGGGAAGGAGTGGGGTTTTCAGCTCACCCTGGAGGCAGGCAGGCCACACCTTCCCAACGATGGTGAGTTCTTTGAGAGCCAGGGCTGTGTCCCCTTCCTTCTGTGACTCCTGCTCTAATGGTGCTGGCACAGCGCTCAGTAAAGGAGTGTGTGTGTGTGACCATGTGCGCACCAGCCTGTGTTCTTGTGACCTGCAGGGAGGGACCTCAGCCACCGGGTCATCCTTCCCTTCACAGCTTTCAGCTGTTTTCTCCTCTGGCTTCTGGAAGAGCTGGGGGTGGGGGGTGGGGGTGGGACAGGGTACTTCTTTGTAACAGACTGGTGGGTCCACCCAACAGCTATATTCTGAGCTTCCATGCATTCCTGTTCACTAGGCACGCTCCCAGGCCAGTCTACGCCCTGACCCAGCCGTGGGGCAGGTAGGGGAAGGTTGGCATGAGGAGCTGCCAGCATAGGGCAGGAGGTTCTCTGCATAAAGCAGCAGGGAGTTACAGGTGCAACCAGCTCCAGAAAACTAGTCAGGTGAGAAGGTGGTCAGCCAGTGCAGGGGAGCCGAGAGCTGGGCCCAGGTGCCCATGGCCTCAAGGCCCTAGCTTCTACCTTCCTGGTGGAAGGTCACAGGCCCCAGGAGCTGAAGAGGGTAGGAGTGGGGAGTAGAGGGGGCAGCAGCAAGTGACCTGTATGGCTAGATGGGGATGCTCAAGGCCATCCGAAAGTCTCGAACCCAGCCTCCTGCTCCTGTGTAAATGCCTTTCTCCAGACCAAACAGCCGAGGTTACAGGAATGTGAAGTTCTGGTCCTTCTGAGTAAGTGCCAGCAGCTTTCTCTTTTGTCCCCTGGCCCTGGCTGTGTGATCCCAGAGCTGAGGGCAAGGGGCTGCAGCAGAGGCGGGCTGGCTGAGCCTGCCTGTGGCAAGAGCCACTGCGGTCACCTTTTTGGGTGTCCACAGGGCCAGCCCCGAGGTCCCAGTGGGAAACCAAGCAGGTGAGCGCTTTCCTGGTGCCCAGCTCCAGCGGCAGGCCAAGGGAGATGGCTGCTGGGGACTAAGGATGCTGAGATGACTTAAAGGCTCCTAAGGGACAGGCCAGTCCAGAGTCCTCCTCTCATCCTCCCCACAAACACAGCAGGCATGAGGACGCCTGGCTTCCACCTGGCCGTGTCTCATCTCCCTCACCCACCTTGTATTCCGTCTCCCATAGGAAGGCAGGGGTGTAATCATGTCCCCACCCTCCCTTCTGGGACTGTCACAAAGATAAAAGAGACCATCTATAGGAAGTATTTTAGAAGCACCAAGCTGACAAGAGGTGTTATTAAAGCAAAGTGTTTGGAGATTGCAGATGAAAGGCAGCAGGGAAGTAGAACCTAAACATCACTCTCCCCAGAGCAAGGGTGCCCTGGCTACTGGGCCACAGTGGGAGCCGGAGAGAAGGGATTAAAACACCCCCAGCCCCCAACCCTGCTGGCTACCTCCATCCTTTGGGTAGCAGCAACAAGCTGGTCTCCCATTTTGGAATGGCTGCAAAGAGAAGCAGCTGTTGGTAAGGCACTGCCTTATGCTCTTGAATCTTGGGCCTCTTTTGGATTAAATATAGTCCCATCTCCCCTAAGACATCACAGCCTCCCTCCCCTTCCAAAGAGCCCTTCCCACTGAACAGAAGTGCCAGGAGGCTTTTTAGATCAGCTGGTCTCTAAGCGAGTCCTGCTTAACTGCTTGGACATGGGAGCAGATTTATCAAAGAGGATCCTGGCCCTTGTTCCACAGGTTTACGTGGCCAAGGCCCAACGTTCTCCCTTCGCCCTGGAGCCTTTACTAATCTACCCCAGCCCTCGCCTACCTTCTCAAAGGCTGACTTGCTACATGGAACAGCTTTATTTAGGAGGAAAAGCACAAGTGAGTGTGGTTCCAGGGAGAGCTGTGAGCCAGGGTTTGAGGCCCAGGCGGAGGACTGCGGGCGAGTCCTCACCTCCGCAGGGGAGGCTCATGGCATGGCTTCCTCAGTCCTCAGTGGTTGCGTCCTAGGCCCATGCGAGCAGACAGGAACACTGCAGTGTGCTGGCAGAGGGCTCCCGTTTCAGCAATGCAGTCAGTCGGTGCGGGCGATGAGAGGGCATGTCTGGCTTCCCCGCCTGCGGGCAGGCTCTGGGATCCCAGCTGACCGAACTGGGGGGAAGGAATGTTCAGGAATCGGTGAGCGCCATGCTCTGCAGCCGGCTCTCCAGGGTGACATCGCTCTCTGCCCCTTTGTTTTTGCTGCCCTCCTGCTGCTTCTTCTGCTTCTTCGATGGCTCCTGGTCAATGGGCGCAGGCTTCACAAAGGGAATCAGTTCTTGGAGACCTGGAAGGGAAGAGCCAACCGAATCACCCATTGTTTCTCAGGAGCCAGAGCCCACGGACCTCTGTGGTGAGTGCCATGCCTTTGAACAAGAGGGCACCCATTCATTCTTTCCTTCCCGTCGGAATCTCAGCGGCATCTCAAAAGATCAGGCCTGTCCCGGCTACTTTCTCAGCTCGGCCCTGCAGTGCCCCGCACCAGGAGACAGGCAGAGTTTGGGGACTGTGTGTGAACAACACCGGGTCCGTTCTGAAAGGGGCCTCTATTCCGAAGGGTGAAGACGGAGAAGAGGAGGGGGACGGGCTGGGCTGGGTCTCACCTGGCGGCATGAACTCCTTCAACTTCTCGGGCACGATGATGCCCTTCTCCGTCTGGTAGTTCTCCAGGATGGCGCAGATGGTGCGGGTCGTGGCACACATGGTGGCGTTGAGCATGTGGACAAACTCCACCTGAGCAGAGGGAGCAGTTCAACTCAGCCCTTGGCTGGTCTAACTGCTGACCGGGAGCCATCACCCCAGCAGCCGGACTCCCCCACTGCAACTAGCCAATTCGAAACCATGGCTTTCACCCATTCCTGAGTCTGTCCTAAACCTGGATTCTGTCTGGCATTTACTGCCCATCAGGTGAAGTCCAGGAAGACTCCTCATGCCTCCATGAGGGGCAAACAAGGCTCAGTATTTTGAGGAGAGTTGGGTCCTTTGAGGGAAAAAGAAAACCCTACTGCAGGGGCCTCCCCTCTCAGCCCCAGGGCCTGGAAGTTGGGTTTGAAGAGATGAGCTTACAACCCAGACCTGCCTGGGCGAGAAGAGGGCAGGCATTGCCTGCGACTTGTTCTGGGTAGACCAATGGGGGTTATCCTTTATTTGGAGCGACAGAAAGCAAAGCCCCAAAGAGAAAAGTTAGCAAGGCTTCGTAGAATGGAGCCGGAGTCCGGTTTCCACCCAAAAGAACTCAGCCCTGATTCAGAGGAAGTCATTTTCAGGTTCCCTTTCTGATCTAGACTGAAACGCCCAGGTTTTCCCCTGATGCCGGGGAATAATGCACTCCGAGGGCTGAGGAATAAGACCAACCCCCTCTGCTCCGAAGGCCCCGCTGCCCGCCTCCCCAGGGCCCTCTACCTTGTCCATCATCTTCTTGGTTTGCCCGTATCGGATTCGGAGGCGGCGAGCCTGGTAGTCTGTGCAGTTAGAACAGGAGACCAGCTCCCGGAAGGCTCTCGAGCCCGGAAACCAGGCCTCCAGGTCAAGCTTCTTACTGGCAGCGTGATTCAAAGAACCTGTAAGGAAACACCCCTCGAATTCATGAAGGAGGGATGGTATTTCAGAAGGCTAACCTTTAGCAAACGTGAAGAATTCTGTAATTCACATCCCGTCCCCAGAAGTGAAATCACGCCCAGATATTCTTATCAGCAAACGCTCCCAAGGGAGAAGAGTGTGATCTTTTAATTAATGTGGGCAGTTAATTGGATCCTGAGCTATTTCTCTGTGTGGGGCGGGTGATAGCTGTGGGCTGCAGGAAAGGGAGGCTGGTACCTGAGACAATATTCACGATGTGGTATGGGATGCCCAGGGTCTGGTAGAACTCCTCCGCGGTGGAGATCATCTCTTCAAACATCTCCCACGACTTGTTGTCATGTGGTGACGCGTAGACAAACTGCTCGATCTGCAAAGAGGGGCCCAGGGAGACAGTGACAATGGGACAGGGCAAACCCGCGAAAGAACCAAAGTGGGAGCTACTCTTGCAATGAAGACCTGTTCCTATCCCGCTGGGAGGCAGGCGAGGCTGGGCCCCAGCAAGAGAGATGGTGCTGCACTGGGCTGGGTGTGCAACAAGAACGCGTGCTTTACAGAGAGCTTACCGCACATGTGCCAGGTGCAGTTCTAAATGCCTCTCGTACTAACTAGTTTAATCCTCTCAGTGGGCCAATGAGGTGGGTACTAGTATTACCCGCCTTTTACAGGGAGAAAACAGCACAGAGTGGTTAAGCAAGCTGCCTGAGGTGACACAGCTGGTAGGTGGTGGGGTTGGCATTTGGCCTCAGGCTGCCAGGTTCCGGGGTCGGTGCTGGCAGCTACTCCACCACGTGCTGCTCAGGCTCTTCCCCGAAACACAGACGTAGGCAACAGGAGGCAAGACTCTGGACACACAGCTCCTGCCTCTCCTCTCACTTCCCTGGACAGACAGGTAGAAGGATCCTGCTCCTCACCCCGACTTCTCTACTTACCTTCTCAAACTGATGGACTCGGAAGATGCCGCGGGTGTCCCGGCCGTGGGAGCCCACCTCCTGGCGAAAGCAGGTGGACAGGCCAGCATACTTGATGGGCAAATCCTCTGGCCGTAGCCACTCATCCCGGTGGAGAGCAGCGATGGGCTGCTCGGAGGTGGCAATCAGGTATTTCTCATCATAGGAGTTGTCGTCAGACTTTTCACTGCCTTTGCCAATCACCTGAAGGAGGACGGACCTTTACTGATTAAGAGCGAGGGAGGGGGACCTCAGCAAGAGCAGAGACCACAGGGGAGATACGAGCGATGAGACAGGGGGACGTTTCTTTAATCCCTGCCTGGGAGTGAGGAGGGGACACTAAAGACTAGGGAGGAAATGGGTCTGTCCCAAATGGGATCCCCAATAGAGATCGAAGAAAAGCAAATTAAAAGGAGATAAAAAAAATTGTGATTCTTTTACTTATCTAATAAATAAATACATTTGTAAATGATATAAAATGGCCAATGATGGCAGATGTACAATAAAACCTGAGCTGGTAGCAATATAATGTAATCCACTCCCAGGAACATACAATGCTGGGCAAAAGGAGACATGGTCTCTGCTTTCTTGGTGCTTATGGGCTAGTCCAGAGGGTATAATCCTCAGCCACGTTGGTGGCCAGTTGACAAGAATGACCTTCTGAAGCTGGACTTGAATCCTCTGGCTCTCCCTGAAATGGCCCAGGGTTGAGAGGAACCACACATGGGAAGCCACATCTATGCCAAGAAAAGCATGGGTTGCCCTATGGAAGCTTCCAGTCTGGGGTCAGGAGTGGGAGGACACGGGAAGGCCAGCCACTTCTATAGTGTCCTTTTGTCCGGCCACTCAATAAATATGCTTCTGTTCTATGCTCATGATGTTAAAGCATGCTTATTTATTTATTTATTTATTTATTATTTATTTTTAATGCCCTGATCGGGAATCGAACCATGACCTCCTGGTTCATCCGTCGACATTCAACCACTGAGCCATGCCGGCCGGGCAAAGCATGCTCATGTAGACCCATCATACGGATGAGCTGGGGGAAAGATCAAACAGGCCCTAGGTCTGCACTGTCCCATACAGTAGCCACTGGCCACGTATAGCTACTTAAGCGAAAATGTTACTTCCTCCGGTGCATTAGCCACATTTTAGGTGCTCAATAGCCACAGATCTAGACCACTTCCATCACGGCAGGAAGTCTACTGGACAGCACTGCTCTCTATCTGTGAATTAAACTTCCCAGCTAAAGAAGTTTTTCTGCCACTCTGCCCAGCTACTCACCTTGTAAAGCTCTTCATCAAACTGGCTGAGCTGTGCCACCTCCTGCATGACCTCCTTCCTCATGAAAAACGGGGTGTAAATGGGAATGTAGCCCCGACTTCCCAAGGTGCGAAGGGCGTACTGGATGAGCGCCTGTTCCAGGAACACCAGGGGCCCCTAAGGAGAGACAGCACTGGGTGAGTGGGTTCTGTTGCCATCAAGTTCAATTGCTAGAATTCCCTCTGAGGCAATGGGCCTAGCAGAATGTGACTACCCAGGGCACACAGGAGGCCAGGAAAGACAGGGTACCCCAACAACCAACTCAAGAGATTCTGACTTATCGCCTGTCCCGAGCAGATCCCCCAGGCAAAGTGTAAAGAGAATTCTCTTTCAGATACCAAGCAAGAGGAAAGGATTAGTGGCCCCGCACGCATGGGAATGTTTTCTTGTGCTCATTCTTACGACACTGGACTCATTTGCATAGAGTAGAGCATACCTATGTATGTGTGTATATGGAGAGTATAGTTGGCCCTTGAACTAGGAGGTTAGAGGCACTGACCCCTCCCCCACCATAGTCGAAAATCCACCTATAATTTTTGACTCCTCCTGCAAATTAACTACTAATAGCCTACTGTTGACCAGAAGCCTTACCAATAACAGTCAACACGTGTTTTGTGTAAGTATCATATACTGTGTCCTTACAGTAAACTAGAGAAAAGAAAATGTTATTTTAAAAAATCATAAGGAAATAAAATCAATTAAAAACTCATAAGGAAGACCTAACCGGTTTGGCTCAGTGGATAGAGCATCAGCCTGCGGACTGAAGGGTCCCAGGTTTGATTCCGGTCAAGGGCATGTACCTTGGTTGCAGGCACATCCCCAGTAGGGGGTGTGCAGGAGGCAGCTGATCAATGTTTCTCACTCATCAATGTTTCTAACTCTCTATTCCTCTCCCTTCCTCTCTGTAGAAAATCAATAAAATATTTTTTTAAAAAAAGTCATAAGGAAAATACATTTACAGCATTTATTGGGAAAAAACCCCCACATATAATGGGACCAGCAGTTGAAGCTGTAATTCCAAAATTATTTTACCATGTCTTTCTAGAAGCCTTCTTTCTCTGAGTGCACCTGCCCTCTGTCCCAGCTAGCCTGGGTTTGCCTCTGCCTAGCAGCCTCCCTGCGCTCTGGGCCTGCTCACACCACAGTTCCATGCACCAAAAAAGGCCACGTACCAAACCTGACAAGCCCAGGGGAGGCCGGCATGGTGGGCCCTACAGGCTCAAGAGACTGAAAATAACCACATAGGATTAACTGAGCCGGTCTGCTGCCTTTTTGCATCTAAGCTAACATGCCTTTGAGATGTCAGCATCATCTCCTTTACCAGACCCCTCAGGGCCCACCCACCAGAGCACAGACCACAGAACCCTCACTGTCGCCTTGTCTCCCAGTATCATCTCTCTGTACTGGAAATGTTCACCATTAACTGTCCTGTACTCACCAACGTAAAAGAAGTACGTGTCTCTCCGGTATGCTTTTTATCCAATCCCAGAGATTTCACCGCTTTGCTTTCTCCCACCTCCCAGATCTACCACCAGTGGATTTCATGCACCCACACCCTTCCCCACTTAACATCTCTTCCTTTGATTCTAATGCATTAAATAAGCTGCAAAACTGCCATTCCCCAGAGCATTTTCTCAATCCGTTGAGATTTTGCTTCCTGGCAATTGTCATCAGTTTGTTTCAAATCAACTCATAAAAATAATTCTCTACAGTTTTGGACGTTTCTTATGTCGACAGTACTTATCACAGTGGCTTTTGACTGTTACTTGTCTGACTGTCAGATTACACTGAGCTCGACAAAGGAGAGACTGTTCTGATTGAGTCGGCAAACATATGCTCCCTGCGGGGCATCGCGCAGTGGCTTTTGTTCCGGGGACTCCGGCCTAGAAGACACTGCATCTAATTGCCAATAAGTCTGTGGTAGAAAGGCGAGCACAAGTGTGGATTGGGGGGCCTCCTTGAGTAGGTTATGTTTTCTGCATTGTGTTTTTTAAATTCCTTCTTTCTAATCCCACCCCCACTGGCTCCTGACTCACCTTCAGGAAGTACCCTCGACTCCCAGCCACCACGACCCCTTTTTCGCCTTCAAAGCCATCGACCATCACCACCAGGTCCACGTGCGAGTACTTCTTCTTGACCGTGCAGTCACCCCAGATCCTCTCGACTTTGTTGTCCGCATCCTGAGGAAACAAGAGCGGGAGAGAAAGATGCACGGCCTCTGAATTCTACAACCTCCATCTTTCCAAACCCTGTTCTAAGAACAACCCGGAGCTTTGGGAAGCCACGGCTTAACTCAAACACCAGGTTTTGGTCATCGTGTCCAGAGACTGGAGAAGGGAATATGCTAGAGAATTTGTGCTCAGTAGAGAAATAATCATTTTTAGATTCCTAGAAGGGATTCTAGCCATGAAACTCAAAGCATGATTGTCCAAAAGATCTCGATCTCTCTCTCTCTCTCTCTCTCTCTCTCTCTCTCTCATTTACCCCTTTAAATGCTTTGTATAAGGACACCTCAACCCTAGACAATCAACATTGCCTGGGGTGCAGAGGAGAATGTAGATTTCTTTTTCCAGGCTCTCATTGGTCCCAGGGCTCAGGACCCCAGACCTCCCCAGTCTGCCACCCCAGCCAGCAAGAGTTTAAACATTCCGTTCACCAGGGAATGAATGGAAGAGGCACAGATGGGCCCCGCTCTGGCTGGGGTGTCAGGGAACAAAGGCTGGGCTCAGCGCAGCTTTGTGCTGGGGAAGCTCCCACTCAGCAGGAAACTTTTATCATGCAGATTCCCCTTCAACCTGCAGCTTCTCAGCGGGGTGTGGGTGAGGGGTGAGGTTGATTTAGCAGATCCCTCCCACGAGACTGGCTGCTACCAGGGGCAACAGTGGAGGACAGCAGCCAGATGCAGAAGAGATTTCTGGGCCAGGAGTCTCCTACCTGCGGTCTCTGCCACTTCCCAATCAGGCAAGGATCTGTCGCTTTCAATTCTCAATCGGTGGGCAGGGCGAATACACAAAGGACCTGCTTCTGCTACAAGGCCCGTCAGACAGAACACCAGTGTGTCCTTGTCCTCCTTCCAACAGAGGAGCGATGTTAGCTGTGGCACCTACACCTACCTCATCGTTACTGATGGGCACCGAGGGATGCAGAAGGTTCCCGATCTCTCGGAGGTTCTCAAACCGCTCTTCCTCCAGCTTTATCCGCTGGGCGTCACACTTCAGGATGGCTTCGTCGATGAGGAGTCGGAGTTTTTTGATCTGGGACACTTTCAGGTTCTGTGGACGAACAAGCCAGGCCCGCACCCAGGCCACAGCGCATCAAGGACAGAGTAGGAATGCGATTCTGTCGCCCTAACCCGGCTGTGCTCTGACGACAATCCTTGTGATAGTCTTTTAAAAACTGACAATGAAGGCTTTCAAAGCGGCCTTGCCCTTACAAACGCACTGGCATTTCCTTTTGGGGTGCCTGAGGCAGAGATGGATCAATTCTGGCCACTCTTCTGGTTCCTACATATCTCAGGAATTTTAACATGTAGCTCTCTTCAGGGCTTTCTTCCCGATTCAACCGATTCAGCGTTCTATTACGCACGGCACTTCACTGTTCTCCAGGAAGATGACACATTTATCAGGAGCAAGAGACTTTGTCTTAAGCTAACTTTGTATCCCTCTTGCAGATATTTCAAACTGTACTTATTTCTTGGGGGGAGCCCTGAGCAGGTAGGGCTGGACGGGAAGAGCGCCCCCAACCTAGCTCTTCAAGCACAGCAACAGCCTTCTAAAAAATTTATTTATTTATTTAGCACCGCTTTTTTGTGTTGATGCTCTTGCTATGCTTTTGTGCTATGGGTTTTCAGAAAGGGTTTAGCGACTAAAAACTTGAAAATTACTGCACCAGGCTCTTTATAGAGTGACTGTTTACTGAATTACAATAAATTTAAAAATGACCTGACTCTGGGAAAACAGAACACTGTAAGCTAACCATAGTTCCTTTTTTCTCTTCTTCCTCCCTCGACCCTTCGACTCCAGCTGTCTCCCGCTTTGCCGTCCCATAAACAAAGTACAAAGTATATAACAAGAGTAACAGGGACCCGTCCCAGCTGCAGAAGTTCAAGGACAATGCCGTATGCAGCAGAGTTTTAGCATTTACTTGTCTAGGAGGAAAGTTACGGTAAAAGAAGAGAAACCCCAACCTAGAAAAGGACAATAACTTACAGCTAAAGTGTCTGAAGTGAGGTCATCGAGATTTAACAAGTTCTCCGGAATGGACTCATCATTTCCCACTGGCTCTTTTTTCTGCAGGAAAAACAAACAAACAAACGAACAACACTATTAAATAAAAAAAGTTCTGACATCCTAAGTGCACATCAAAGTAACATCACATAAACGAATCACAGAACTTCCTACACAGCTGTCTAAGCAAATTGGAAGTAAGAAAGATTAGCAAATTGGAAGTGAGAAGTTAAAAGTTTCAAGTCTCTGTTCTGCTGCTTTTTAGCTTTTTGATACTGGACAGACTGATTAACCCATCAGGGTCAGAGGGCTGACATCATCGGGAACATGAGAAGGTCTGCCCTGGATGTAGAAGAGTGTGGGCACCAAGACTGGGTGAGCGCAGCCGGTGTGGCTCAGTGATTGAGCATCAACCTATGAACCAGGAGGTCACGGTTCGATTCCCGGTCAGGGCACACGCCTGGATTTCAGGCTGGATCCCCAGTGTGGGGCGTGCAGGAGGCCGATGGATGATTCTCTCATCACTGATGTTTCTATTTCTCTCTCCCTCTCCCTTCCTCTCTCTGAAATCAATTTAATATATATATATATGTATAAAAAGAGAGAATGGGTGAGAATGCTCATGCACTGGGTGCTCAGTGCTGGGGCAGAGGTCTGGGTGTGAATCTATGAATCCCTGTCTACCTGCTAAGAACAGTCCCAGTGCTGAGGCTATGTAGAGCTCGACTACACTGAACAATGGATGGGATGATGGGATGTTAGAGAGGCAAGGAAAACTTTTTGAGGGAAAAGTCAAAAAATCTGGACCTAAGTTTAGAGCAGTCAATGCAAGCTGGCAAATAGCAGGGATGTACCCAGCACTCGTTTTTCCCCCCCTCTAACTTCTTGCCTCACCCTTCTTTATAATATTCTGCCAAATCATTTCTAATCCTTGTCCACAGCCATGGGGAAGATAATTTTAATTAATAAATTAACTTATCAAAGGCCATTATAACAAGACCTATAGAACCTCAGCAAAACTTGTATAAAAACAAGATGAGCCCTAGCCGGTTTGGCTCAGTGGATAGAGTGTCAGCCTGAGGAACAAAGGGTCCCAGGTTCGATTTCGGTCAAGGGCATGAACCTTGATTGCAGGCTCCTCCCCAGCCTGGGCCATGGTTGGGGCGCAGTTGGGGCGCGTGCAGGAGGCAACCAATTGATGTGTCTTTCTCACATCGATGTTTCTCTCTGTCTTTCCCTCTCTTCCACTCTCTCTAAAAGATCAATGGAAAAATATCCTCGGATGAGGATTAACGACAACGACAAAAAAAAACCCAAGGTGAGATTTAGGGTCTGTTTTTCAAGTATAAATAAAATGTGTAGAAAGCATACTCAATGTCCTAAAGGTCTTAAAAATTCTATATATACAATAGGCAATTATATATATACAACCTCATATCCACTGTGCAAAACTGAATCATGAGAAAGGATAACATCTTCTAAGGACAAAAGCATAGAAATCCTTTAGATTCATTACACATTCCCACCCACCAAAGCAAGAAGTCAGGATTCCAACCATAACCCAACTCACATCCTTCCGTGACCCAAGCAAAATCATCTCGAAAAGCTGGGAAAGTCTGAACATATAAGATTCTTGACAAGAACAAGCATAGACTACTGAGGCAGAAAAAAGGTGGTCCAAATCACAATATTTCCCAAGGGAACTGAGGCTCCCTCGCTATCTGCCAATCCCTCCTGTCGGAAAGTTCTGAGTTCAAGTTCTGACTCTGCAGCTAGCGTAATTTAGGAAAGCCCCTTAATTTCCTCAGGTTATTTCCTTGCCCTTTAAATAAAGCTGATAATTGTACCACCCACACTGAGGTTTAAAACAAAGATCAAAAGCAAAATGTGATATATACAAAAAGGTTTGTAATACTTTCAAGTGCTATACAAGTGAAAGCTAGCACCATTCCCATGGATAGCAAAGGAGAATACTCCTTACAGGGTTAGCATAAAGGGATCCAAGAATCTATAATAACAAAAGCATAATATGCTAATTAGACCAGATGTTCTTCGGGACAACCTTCAGGCTGAAGCTGGGGCTGTGAGGGAAGCCTGGGTCCCGGGTGCTGGAGGAAAGCTGGTGCCGGCAGCCTGGGGAAGGAAAGCCTATTCTTGCACGAATTTCATGCATCGGGCCTCTAGTGTTATTATAAATGAAAAAACTTAGTCCTATCTTCTTTTTTAAATTTCAGAGAGGAGAGAGGGAGAGATAGAAACTTCAATGATGAGAGAGAATCATCAATTGGCTGCCCCCTATTGGGGGATCGAGCCTGCAAACTGGGAATGTGCCCTGACTGGGAATAGAACCATGACCTGCTGGTTCACAGGTCGATGCTCAACCACTGAGCCACGCTAGCGAAATCTTTTTTTTTTTTTTTTTTTTTTTAAATATATTTTATTGATTTTTTACAGAGAGGAAGGGAGAGAGATAGAGAGTCAGAAATATCAATGAGAGAGAAACATCGATCAGCTGCCTCCTGCACACCCCCCACTGGGGATGTGCCCGCAACCAAGGTACATGCCCTTGACCGGAATCGAACCTGGGACCTTTTAGTCCCCAGGCCGACGCTCTATCCACTGAGCCAAACCGGTTAGGGCTAGCGAAATCTTTTTATTATGTTCTTTACTGGGTCAGGTTCCTAATTTTTAATCTTTTGGTTTAGTTTAGAGGTTTACAACTTAAAAATTAGACAGGCTATAGGGTGCATTTCATATGTTTTTTAAAAAGTGATTAAGGGGATATTTTTTTAAAAAGATTAAAACATGTACTATTTTGAATACCAAAGGAAGGGCAGAACCGAAACTGAACATTCTTCAAGCATGGAGGGATTTTTTGGATGAAGGCCACTCATTGTTACTCAAAATTGATAATAACTACATGTTCTTGGTATCGTGCCAGGTTCTCTACATTTAACAACTTCCGTTCTCATAATTCTGTTCTAGAGGTGAATGTTCATACTGTCATTTCAGATGAGAAAAACTGAGGCTGAGAAGTTAACTTGCCTCAAGTCACGTGGCCAACAAACAGTCCAGGACCTGGAGACCCTATCCATGCTCTTTTCAGAAAAGAGCTCGACTTCACTGAACAAAGAACCTGAACTCTGCCGTAGGAAAGTCTTTCTGGCACTAGAGGCTGAACTCAAGAAATAACTGGAAACGATTCTGGTGGGATCTATGTTCTTATTATAAGAACAGCATAAACAACGGATGACTAGTGTGGCAGGACTCTGGCCTTGCTATAGACTGAAGGTTGGAAGTCAACAGATTCCTATGCTGAAACCTACCCCACAATGTGATGGGATTTGGAGGTGGTGTCTTTCAGAGGTGATTAGGTGACCACAGAGACCCCACAGAGCTCCCTGGCTCCTTCCGCCATGTGAGGACACAGCAAGGAGACTGCCTATGAGCCAGGAAGTGGAGTGGGCCCTCGCCAGAGACCAAATCTACCTGGGCCTTGATCACGGACTTCCCAGCCTCCAGACTGTGAGAAATAAATTGTGCTGTTTATAGCCACCCAGATTATGGCAGCCAAACAGACTAAGACATATCTGAATATAGAAGATGGACTCACCCCCTTACTTCCCTACCTGCCTTCCTTTTTTTCTTTTTTTAAAATATATATTTCTTTATTAATTTCAGAGAGAAAGGAAGAGATAGAAACATCAGCCGAAACCAGTTTGGCTCAGTGGATGGAGCGTCGGCCTGTGGACTGAAAGGTCCCAGGTTCGATTCCGGGCAAGGGCATGTACCTTGGTTGCGGGCACATCCCCAGTAGGAGATGTGCAGGAGGCAGCTGATCGATGTTTCTCTCATCGATGTTTCTGGCTCTCTATCTCTCTCCCTTCCTCTCTGTAAAAAACCAATAAAATATATTTAAAAAAAAAAAAAAAAGAGAGAGATAGAAACATCAATGATGAGGGAGGATCACCGATCGGCTGCCTCCTGTACGCCCCCACTGGGGATCGAGCCCATAACCTAGGCATGTGCCCTTGGCCAGAATCGAACCTGGGACCCTTCAGTCCGCAGGCCGACACTCTATCCACTGAGCTAAACTGGCTAGGGCCTTCCTTCCTTTCTCTAAAACACGTACTATTTTGAATATCAAATAAAGGACAGAACTGAAACTTAACATTCTTCAAGCATAGAAAGATTTCCCCCAGCCCTGGCTGGTGTGGCTGTTGGTTGGGCATCCTGTGAAACAAAAGGTCGATGGTTTGATTCCTGGTTAGGGCACATGCCCAGGTTTTGGGCTCGATACCCCAGTAGGGGGCATGCAGGAGGCAGCCGATGGATGTTTCTCCTTCATTGATGTTTCTCTCTCTCTCCCTCTCCCTCCCTTTTTTCTAAAATCAATAAAAGCATATTTTTAAATAAAATAATTCCCCCATATGGGCAAGAAATTCGGTATCCCATGAACTCAGACGCTAAACTAGAAATTATTAACTGAGAATAAGATTCAATACCTCGGCTAAAGCTCTCATGGCTGTTAGTTCTCTTACCTTCATTTTCTCTCCAATTGTCTTGCTGCATAGGTTCTTCAGCTTGTTCAAGTTGTCGGTCTGAAATCTGCCTGAAGAATAAAGAACCCAAGAATATTCCAAAGACATGCAGATAAATAAGATTCCTCCCTCCCCTAATCATGGCTCCTTAGGACAGATCTCAGCCCCAGGCCAGAGAGCAGGCAGCTACAGTCTCCGCCTCAAGAAGCTGTGAAACCTGGTAGCTTTAGAGCCCCAAATTTTAGTTGGCATAATAGGGTTCCCCAGCATTCAGTGACAAGGAAAAGGCCGCTCTGAGGCCGAAATGAAAATGTATCAGAACCTGGGTGACACTGGTGTAGAGAAATACACCTGAGGAATCAGGAATTAATCGAGTGACTATAAACTGCTCGATTCCCTTCAAGTTCATTTAAGAAACTATGTAGTGCGCAGGGGAATCTAGAAAGAGGGCAGTCAGATTTCTATTCCCGTGAACTTGGTTGCTACATCTCTATGCTAGAAATGGTTAACGTTACTCCCTTTGCTTTGACATCATGCTCATCCTGCAGCCTTCAGAGTAATTTTACTTTTTACATCTTGATTTCTTTTGGGGAAAGCAGGGTACTAGTCAGCCTACTTCGGTATTCTGGCCCAAATTAACATACTGGTATTGTGGTTCATTAGTCCGACTTTTGCTTCTAAGCTTTTGGAGCAATGTGGTAAAAATCAAGCTTTTAACAGGTGAAATGATGACTAGAAATGCAATAGCATCTAGACATAGCTACTGTTGAAGGCTTTGCCAAATTTTACATTTAAACTGAACTTTAGCCCAGCCGGCGTGCTCAGTGGTTATGGGTTGACCTATGAACTAGGAGATAATGGTTCGATTCCCAGTCAGGGTACACGCCTTGGTTTCGGGCTCGATCCCCAGTGTGTTAATAATATAAATTTTGGATCATGGGTTAAATAAAATATATTCTTAAAATTAATTTCATGTTTTCCTTTACATTTTTTTAAGTGGCTACAAGAAGATCCATAATTATACCTGTGGCTCACGTTGTATTTCTATCAGACAGATTTAAGGTATGTAAGTCACTGCAAGACTTAAGCCTGGAAGCAAAAATGACTAGATTTTCATTTCACATGTCCTTGGGTGTGGCCAGGACTGGGTGAGACTGGGGTGAAACTGAAAGTAGAGTTATTCCAATGACAAAGGCCTGGCTGAAGGAGTCTGCAGTAAAGATTAAGAGGAAGTAACAACTTCAATTTATAGTAAAGAGAAATCTCATTCGGAATAGCACTTTTGGGGGGAGGATAGAATTCTGGTGGTTAGCAGATTGCAAATAGGTGGAAATCCAGTGGCTTCAGAAGTTGTCCATAGAAATGCTTATCATATGCCCAAATGTGCCCTCAGCCTATTACTCTGAATTGGAAAAAAGAAATCACGGTTTGAATCCTCGGAGTTGTAAGAGCCATGGTCAAATCTGTGGTGCTAGGGCTCCACGTTTTATCCAATCCCTCTGAGAGCCCCCGTGGCGCCTTGGAGGTGCACAGGCAGACAAACAGGGACCGCTGTCATGGAGGCCTTCTGAGGCTCGCTGTGTCCTCAGTCAGGGAACACGATGAGTTCTTAGTGTGGCTCAGGGTTACAAGTCCTTGTTGCAGCCAATGACAGGAGAGCCCCAACTTCTGATCTGAGGTTTGGATATAAAAGAACTTTGATGCAAGATCTGTCAATGTCCTACTCGGGCGGCCAACGACTTGGGAAAAACTCATGAACTCCCTCTGGCTGCAAAGAGAACACTGGAAAGGGGTGCTAAGTAGAAAAGAATCAAAGCACAGATGTGTGGAAAATAAACGAAATAAACTGCTTTTCATACAGAAGGGCAAAGGCCCTGAACACAGAAGATATTCATGAATTTAAAAAACCTTTGTCGCCCTAGCCGGTTTGGCTCAGTGGATAGAGCCATCAGCCTGCGGACTGAAGGGTCCCGGGTTCGATTCCAGTCAAGGGCATATTCCCGGGTTGCAGGCTCGATCCCCAGTGGGGGGCGTGCAGGAGGCAGCCGATCGATGATTCGCTCTCATCATTGATGTTTCTATCTCTCTCTCCCTCTCTGAAATCAATAAAAATATTTTAAAAACAAACATGTTTGTGAAGCCCTTACCAAGGAGCAGGTGCAGTGCTCAGTACTGGGAATCTATGTATACATGTGTACATGTGTAACCTGTATGCATATGTACTAGGATACCGTAGGTATTGGGACATACAGATGCCTAAACCACAGCCCTGTCCCTTAAGAACTCACCCCCCTCACCATATATCCATCCATTACGAAAGAGATAAAACTCCCTGTAGATGTGTGCATTATACACAAGAGAAGAGCTCACATATTCAAAGGAATTTACTGCGGAACAATGGGTAACCGGGTAACAAAAATCCGATACTTCTGATTCAGTAAAGCAGTGTTCAGTCAAGTTTTTTCCTTCCAGTTAATTTAATTCCAATACAATTCAGATTCAGGTGGTAGGATCTCACAAAAGCGTCACAAACTACCACATTAGAGTGACTGAGACATGGAATTAACAGGCAACCCGAGTTAAACAAATACTCTCTTGGTACCCAATACCCTTATGAACTCAGGAAAATCAGTGTTCCTACTAGAAAGCCACCACACTCTTGGACAGGGACTGCCTTTGCAGTGTGCTGTCATAAACTTGGCTCTCAGCTGGTTGCAGACTTATTGCATCAGACAAAAATCACATGTGCTTGACAGCATCCGGCCAATCGGGGACTACTCTAGTTAACCCAGGCAAAGGAGTCTATGATTTTATTTTCGGTTCCAGGTTCTAGCCAAATTCTACCAATATCTTTCCCGGAAAACTTCCTCAAATCACAATTACACCGCCTCAATAATTACACGCGTTGTCTTGCCTCGCCGCACCCCCTCTCCCCATGCCTGACCTACCGCGGAACACTTTTCGCCATTTTTAAAGGTATGATCACAAGCCTGGGGGACGGCTCTCCCCACAGCTCCGGGATCGCTGCTTTTTAGGCAGAAGCGGGCTCCAAAGACCCCAAATGCTTCCAATGTGGGTGGAGTGAACCTATCACGCTGCAGATGTGACTCGGGCTGGAGCCTTTCGTCCTATCAAACTAGGAGATCACGCTGGCCTTGTGGACCAAGAGGGAAAGGCCGGAGGTGACCAAAGATAAGTGTTGGGAAAGGGGAAACCTCCCGCCCTGGCTTTCTCGGGGCTACCGGTGCAGGGGGAAGCCTTGACAGCTCTTGATGCGCATGCGCCATGCTCCTTCCCAGACCACCGATCCGCACCGAGCACGCCCGGGAGGGAGCACGCACCCACCGGCTGACGGAAAAGTGGGACGGTCCCGGCTACCCAAGCGTTTTGGGGGATAAGGAACGCCTCGGAGCCACCGCATCCTGGTAGGGGGGTCTCCCGAGGGGCGGGAGCTGCGGCTCCAGGAGCGGGAACGAGATCCGAGAGCTGAAGTTGGGCTTAGATGGGGGACGTCCGGTACTCACATCTTCGCCACTCGCCGTCCGCCTTCACCAGCCGATCCACGAGTCCCGGGTCCTTGAAGCGGTTCTTTTGCGTCTCTCGGATGCGGTCCGGGTCCCCTCCTTTATCCGTCCGAAACAAGTCCAGATCCAACACCATCTTTCCTCCTCCCCGGTCAACAATGAGGAGAAATGAAGCTCGCAGCCAGGGAGTCAACCAGTGACCGACGCACTGCGCCTGCGCGCGGGCGTTCCCCCTCCCCCCCGACGCCGGAAGCGGCTGTGTGGGAGGCGGGGCCTCGGAGAGGAAGGCGGGCCGCGGAGGAGACGCATGGGCTTCTCGGGCTCGGTCCCCCTCTAGTGCTTTCTCCCCAGCTCTGCCCCTCTCTGTAGGGGCTCTCCCTGCCCCGGGAAGGTGAGTGCCTCAGTTTCCTCCGCGTGTGCAGGGCCTACCTCAGGCTGGACAGGCGCCTGCCGGCGGGAGAGCTTGGAAGAGGGCGCCTCCAATGGATGCCCGTTTCCGGCCCCCGGGCTGCGGTCCTCACCGGACCCTCTCGCCAGCTCTGTTCTCTTCTCCAGTTTTTAGTCCCGGGGTTTCCTCAGCTCAAGGTTCCTGCTCTCCTGCCTTAGAGCCCTTGGCACTAGGATACACTTCTTTCTCTCCTTTAATTAATTGTGTTAATCCTCACCCGAGGATGTTTTTTTCATTGATTTTTAGAGAGAGTGGAAGGGAGGGAGGGGAGAGAGAGAGAGAGAGAGAGAGAGAGAAGCATCTATGTGAGAGAGACACGTTGGCTGGTTGCCTGGCGCACACAACCCCCCCCCCCCCCAACACACACACACACACACACACACACACACACACACACTGGGGCTGGGAACCTGCACCCCAGGTACGTGCCCTCCACGGGGAATCCAACCTGAGACCCTTTGGTGCGAGAACCGACACTCTACCCAGGGCGCCCCACCGGCCAGGGCTGGGATGCATTTCTTAATCTAATTACTGGGTAACCAGATTGTCCCTTTACCAGCCCTTAAGAGCATCGGGTCGGAAAAAAGAAAACACATGTAAAAGAAGAAAGGAACACACACACACACAAACACACACACACACACAAACAAAAACAAACAAAAAAGGTCGTAGGGTCAGGGAAGTGCACTGGGCATCTTTGCAGAGAGACACGGAGAGACGTTTCCCAGCGGGACACGGGTACCAGTGAAGGCGGTGCAGGTGCTGAGCTCATGCCTGAGAGTCTTTGAGGACTTGAGCAAAGGTTCCCTCATACTTCATTTTGTAACATTCGGGCCTTGACCGTAAAAGTTCTGGTTGCCGGTGGAGCCGACGTTATCAAAGAATCTCCCTGGGCCCTAACCGGTTTGGTTCAGTGGATAGAGCATCGGCCTACGGACTCAAGGGTCCCAGGTTCGATTCCGGTCAAGGGCATGTACCTTGGTTGTGGGAACATCCCCAGTAGGGAGTGTGCAGGAGACAACTGATCCGATGTTTCTCTCTCATCGATGTTTCTAACTCTCTATCCCTCTCCCTTCCTCTCTGTAAAAAATCAATAAAATATATTAAAAAAAAAAAAAGAATCTCCCTGGTAAGGAGAGAGATGGGGGATTTGGGAGTAGGGTTCTGTTTTCCCCATCCTCCCACCTTACAGAAGCTTGAGAGCCCCCCCATCCCCCACCCCCGCCCCCGTGCCCCAAAGCTAGCTGCTCGGAGACCTTGGTCTTACCCACCTGCACGGGCTGCAATGAGGCTGCCCCACCGCTGTCCTCGCTCCCCAACGTGCTCCCCAGGGCCTTGCCCAGCTAATCCTGAGGTGGAAGGCGGGGCTCGTGGCAGTGGGGGAGCAGACACTAGCGGTCCGAAGGAGGCGGAGGAAAGGGGGTTTCTGGGTTTGCCCCCCTCGGGTCAGTTTGCCTAGGATGTTAGGTTTAAAACCAGTGGAAAGGGAGCGTGGGGAGCTGCAGTCTCTGAAGAAAGCACGTAAGAAGAAGACTGTCCTCTGAGCTTGGAGTTCTCTGAACTGAGGGCGGGGTCTGCTAAGAAGAGTGGCTGCTGCTGCATCAGCGAAGCCCAGGTGCTGCCAAAGTGTATTGTTTGCCAAGTTTCCAAGCAATGCTGCGTGTCCGCCCCCCCCCCCCCCCCCAGGCTGCACTGGGGCCCAGGCCCAGGGGAGGAGGGCCGCTGTGCCGATGCTTTAAGGAGGACATTAATATATAATTGAAAGGATGACCCTAATGTCTGGCCTCTCCAAATTTCCTTAGGAATTTTCACCATTAGTCTTTGGAGACCAATCGGGAGCCGAAAACCAGGATTATTAGGGGAAAAAGACCTGCTGGGCAGTCTCGCAAGGAGAGAGCAGCAAGCCGTGCAGAGGTGGGCACTCCTTTTGGGGGGTGGAATGGGAAGGAATGGGGGCTTTGTGTACTCAGCACGCTGATTGGTGGCTTAATGTATGGTCCATAGAGGAACAAGGGCTTAGGGTATTTGGCAGGTGTTGATTGGTGGTTCAATGTATAGTCCATATAAGGTACATGGTTAGTCACTCAGGTATTTCTGGGCTGCAGGTATGGTTAGTCACTCAGGTATTTCCGGGCTGCAAGTTACATCATACTCTGCCCACCAGTTGGGGGGAAGGGAGGATCTATCAGTCTTTAAAAATATATATATATACATATATATATATATATATATATATATATATGTATATATTTTTACTAGAGGCTCTGGTGCATGACATTCGTGCACTGGAGGGGCGGTCCCTCAGCCTGACCTGCGCCCTTTCACAGTCCAGGACCCTTCAGGGGATGTCCTTAGCGCTGCCGCAGAGGCTGGAGAGGCTCCTGCCACCACTGGGGCTTCTGGCTGAGTGGCATTACCCCTGTGGGAGTGCACTGACCACCTGGGGGCAGCTCCTGCTTTGAGCATCTGCCCCCTAGTGGTCAGTGTGCATCATAGCAACCGGTTGTTCCGCTGTTTGGTCTATTTGCATATTAGCCTTTTATTATATAGGATTGATTTCAGAAAGAGAGGGAGAGAGGGATAGAAACATCAATGATGAGAGAGAATCATTGATCGGCTGCCTCCTACACACCCCACACTGGGGATGAAGCCCACAACCTGGGCATGTGCCTGATTGGGAATCGAACCATGACCTTTTGGTTCATAGGTCAGTGCTCAACCACTGAGGCACACCAGCCAGCCTCACTGTTAGTCTTATCATGAGATTACAAACATCTTCCTTTAAAATGCTCATGTTACCTGATAAATATAAAAATGAATATACTGGCATACTTCATTTATCAGGTTAGAATCCCAGGATTTTTAGAGCTGGAGGGAAATCTTAGCTATCTGCTAACCTATTCATTCCTAATCTTTTTTTTTTAATATATTTTTTATTGATTTTTTACAGAGAGGAAGGGAGAGGGATAGAGAGTTAGAAACATCGATGAGAGAGAAACATCGATCAGCTGCCTCCTGCACATCTCCTACTGGGGATGTGCCCGCAACCCAGGCACATGCCCTTGACCGGAATCGAACCTGGGACCTTTCAGTCCGCAGGCCGACGCTCTATCCACCGAGCCAAACCGGTTCCGGCTCATTCCTAATCTTTCCATCGCCTTGTTCCTCATGTTTTGAAATACCTTTGTTTAACAAACAGGATTTAGAAAACAATAATTCATTTCCCCTTCTTATCAAGACATATGGCTGCCAACTAGAATTTCTGGTTATCAGGAAATAACCAGTGTTACACACACACACACACACACACACACACGATACTTTAGTCATGGAGAGATGGTGTGGAGCTGTACCACCTTTGGATGTGTGGTTTCTGTTAGCCTCTCTTACTGAGAAGAACACTTGGGTGCTGTATCTGAGGGCTCAGGGGTTCAAGGATCCCCAACTGGGAAACAGCTAGATCAGCCCCTTTTTTTAGGAGGAAACAGGCCCACGGAAGCTAAGTAATGGAGCTAAAACCCGAACACTGGTAAATGCCTGTGAGTCTCATTTTGGGCTTATACTTTTGTTAACATTCTTTAGCAGAAAACAGGGTCTTGAGGAACTTTTTAAGAAAAATTTGGCTTTTTTTTTATATATATATATATAAGGCAGATACCATTGGATATTTGTATCTTTATCTCCACAGGACGTAGCACAGAATCTGACATCTGGAAGATGCTTATTACATTCCCATTGGGTGAGAGACTTGCAGGGAGTGGGCTGAGGGTAGAAGCTTGTTGCAGGTTTAGGGAACAGAATCCTAGGTGAGCGACTACCGTGGAAGCCCTGGGCAACTAGTGGGTGTTAGGGTCGCCGAGGGAAGAATGCACGAGGCCGAAAGGGGTAAAGAATTATGAATGTATTAGGTGATCTGGAAAACCAGATAGGCTGAGCCCCAAATTGGCACCAGCACCCAGGGATGGGGAGTCAGAGGTTTTAAAGGACGCTAGGGGGACTTTTTCTGGGCGGAGAATTCTCTGGGCGGCTCCGGATTCTGGGAAAGCCCAGAGGGGAGAGAGAATGGTCTCAGCAAGTGGAATGTGGTCTAAGCGGAAGGGAATGTCCAAAGGGGATGTCCGCTGTGAAGTGGACTAAAGGTCAGTTCCCAGGGGAGGGGTATGGATTCAATTATTTGATCAAACCTAACAGTGGGCAGCCCAGGGGGAATGAGTACCTGCAGGGAGGGAGCAAGTAAAAGGGTGGGGAGCCCAGCCATAGATGCCATCCTCAATGTTGGCACCCCCCCCCCCCCCCCCAACTTCTCCTTCAGAACTGGGTAATGTGGAAGGGCTCTCTCTGGCCTCACTTTAACACACACTTTGCTCTTTTTGTTCCTCTTTTTTATTTTTTTTTTGAAATAGGATTTCTTAGTATTTGACAAGCAAGCCCTAACTTCGCACTCCTCTGCTAGAAGCCTTCAGTGACTACCTGTTACTCTCAGGAGGATGTTCAAACATGGCTTGCAAAGCCCTTCATGACCTGCCCCCTAACATGTTCCCTATCTCTTGGAATCCCCCCTGAGTTACTGGTGGCTCCCCTTCCTTGCCTCTGAGCCTTCATACAAGCTCCTTCTGCCTGGAACTCTGTTTCTCTCTCCTTTTCCTTCAAACTGGCTATTCTCTTCTTCCTGCAGGAAGTCTTCTCTGATGCTCTCTTCACCCCATGATTGATTTCGGCTCCCTTCTAGGTTCTCACAGTACAGTGACATTTATCCTATTGTTTTAGGCAAAACTGACAACCGAACCTCCAGTTCTCGGTGCCCACTCCCTTCTCTCAGAGTCACATCAACAAAAGAGGGTGATGTTGGCTGTCCTTGGATAACCAAGGAGGAACCATTTAAAAATAGCACGGTTCAGGGAAAGCTGCCCAGGACCCTTGGCGACTTTGATCCCGCCTCTTCCTCTGTTAGAATTGGAATGAGCTGTCGATTATCCTACCTACCACATGGTATTGTTCAGAAAATTGCACTTTATGTGGGATTGTTACCTTTAGCGATAAAATGAAATTATTTATAGTCCAGACTCTCCTTGAATAGCTCTTCAGTTATACATCAAGTTTTGTATATGCAACCCTCCATCGTTTTTTAAAAATTTATTGATTTGAAAGAAAGGGAGAGAGAGAGACATTGATTTGTTGTTCCACTTATTTATGCATTCATTGGGGATCGAACCCGTAACCTTGGCATATCAGGATGATGCTGCAACCCAGCCAAGGCTGCCATCAATTTCTATATCGCTGCAATAGCCATTGTTGCTCTGTGGTTTTCAGTCAATTAAATCTCTTTAAGTTTTAGACCAAGTCATCAGTATCTTCTTGCCTGGTCATCTGACAATGTGTTTCACTTCTTTTGTCAGTGATTGGGAAGCCCTTAAAATCATTCACACATCTCCCCCCCCACACACACACACAACCACCACACACACACACACACACACACACACACACACACACACAGTTTCAAGTTGGGTCATGTCTGCTTCTTGTTTGATGCATTGGGACACTGCATACTATATGGTTGAATTAATAAAAATTAACTGCACTTTGCCCATATCATTATTTCTTCCCTATTGTATCCCCAGTGGGTGAGCCAGAAAAGGTTTCACAGCGGGGTGACTTTGAGGACGGGGTGAGGTCTATCAGGTGAAAAGGAAGGGGAGGAGCAAAGACATAGGCCAGGCAGGGAGGTGTGAAACAGCTTATGACTGAGGGACAGTCTAAAGTTCAGTGTGGTTAGAGTGTAAGCGTCAGCTGCTGGGGACCTTCTATGCCACATGACTAACCCCATTGGAGGTGCAGTTCATCTGTTAGAATGGGAATAGTACCCGCCGTTAAGGGCTGTGCTGAGAACTAGGTGGGCACTTAGTTCAGGCTTAACACACAGATGCCTTTTCTACTTTCCTTTTTAAGAGGAAGGTAAATATCACCCTGGCTTACAACTTTACCCTAGAAGCAGGGGTTATATTTAAAGTCTTTAACCACCAGTACAACCCAGGTACCACTCAGTCAAAACAGATGTGGCTCACAACCAACCAGCTGAAGAAGTCCTTGTGAGGAGATTAAGTGCCCTCAGCGAGAATGCAGGAGAAACAGACACAGGAAAACCCAGCTCCCCTGGGAAATGGTTCCTGACTCCCTCTAGGATTTTATCTAGTCCATAATAATCCACCTCAGGCCCAAACAAGCTCATTGAACTTGTATTTGTGGACACTTCGTTATGTGGCTGGCCTCAGTGCCACCCGAGAGAAAGCTCAGCTGGAAGGGAAGGGAACTGACAGGCCAACTGTTTGATGTGACCTCTCGTTTGGACTTCACTCAATCTTGGGAGGTGAAGCATCATTAAATGCATTTATATGGTGGAAACTGAGGCTTTGGTTGATGGCTGACTCCTCAACAGGTGTAAGCGGCTGCCAGCCCAGGGCGTGTTGCTTTAGAGGATGCTCTTTTCTCTGAAGGATCCAGAACCCTTCTCTTCTGCAGTTTAAGATTCAAGGACATTTACCAGTTCCCACTCGCCCGTCAAGCCATCCAGCCCACGTTCAAGAAAAACAACTTGAAAGGTATGTTTTTATTTCACACAAAAATGTGACATGCAATATCCATCCCCTAATAAACTACAAACTCTTGGAATACAGAGTAAAAAAGGAAACCCATCCAGTCTTGATGACGCAAAAACATTTGGTTTCACAAAGCTGAAAAACTCGTTACAAAGTTTCTGTTGTATAAATATAGTCAGTCATATCTTTAATGTAGAGTCAGACAAAAAATAAATAAATAAAGGTTTTGTTGGCATAAGAAATCCCCTGGTCTTTGACTATGCCACAATCCTCATTTGTATTCCCAACCAAATACAGGTCACATCTATGTGATGAGAGTTACTTGTGTGTTCTAGGACTTTAGGCTACCAAATAGGATTTAAATATTTTATCTGCTGAGCCCACACTCCCTCCCCACAATAGCTTATACAAACCACTATAGCCTTAGCTTAAAGGCATAAGGCTTTTCCCATATACCGTCTAACATGTGTCTATTCTAAAGTTGATTGTGGTGATGCACACACAATTCTGTGAGTACACTAACATCCATTGAATTGTGCATTTTAATTGAGAGAATTGTGTGATATTTGAATTACAGCTCCAAAGAGCTATTAAAAAGTATCTACCATGTGTCTAAGTTGCCAGGGGAGCTATAGGTAGACCCCATAGCATAACTCAGGCGTTCCTGGCAGGACACAGGGGAGATCCACAGGAGTCAGTACACTGAGGGATGGTGTAAAGGAGATCCTTAAAGTACTATGACTACATTAGTGGGGTTTGAGGTTGCTCTGGGGACACTCAGTTTCAAGATGTCAGAATAAAGAAGTCAATGGGGTATGTACTTTGTCCTATAGCTTCTAGAATACTCTAAGCATATCCTGTGGCCTCTGTCACAAAAGCACGTTACTCAATGGGCAAGCGGATGTCCAGGGTGTTGCTGAGGCTGCAGAAAACCTGGGGCTGGAGCTCAGAAGCTGGCTGTCTGCATCCTTTTGGAGAAATTCCAACCAGGCCGCAGTGTCTGCGAGCCGGACTCCCACAGGAGGGGGAGAATTTGGATACCCGAAGAAAAGCTTCTGGGTGTGTTGAGTCAAAGGGGCTGCCTTCCTTCAGTGATGCTGTTGTTTGCCAGAGTCACGCAGGGCTCCAGCTCTCGCGGACCCTTTTATAAGACTATTTCTGGGACAGCAATGGCTAAGGAAGACCAGAAAACCATTTTGTGGCAGACAGACCACTTAGAAATGCCACCTGCATCCTGTTCCTACCATCTGGTCACCAATGACCACTCAAGAAGGGAGACAGGCACAGGCCATGGGCATCTGGGCTCTTGACCAAGGGATGGTCATTCTAGCCTGACAGTGATGGAGGGAGAATTGTCAGTGGTAGAAAGGAAAAGGAAACTTAAGCCCTTGCTCTGGATTTACCATCCTAGTTAAAGTTCATCCATTATAGGTGGTGTCAGAGTGGAGAAAAGGGCCACCGAGGACACTCGCTTTACTCACCTTTCAGAAGGGATGCTGCCAGGAATCGGGGCCAGAAGTCTTTTTAGTGGGTTGGCACACAAAGAAGATGAGAACAGGAAAAAGGCAGGACAGGGGCTTGAAAGTGTGAAGTGTCCCAGTTGGGTGAACTCCTAGTTCACCTCCCTTTGTTTTTCCTCCTTAGACACTGATCTGGTTCTGCTGCTGAGTTTGGGGCCTGGGAGTCAGTTCCTTTTCTGGCCAGCCTAGAAGTTACTTACTCTGGCTGAGTAGAAGAATTACACTTAGAAGCCAGTGTCACCACCTCAGGTCCATCCTATTGTGGGCTGGATCCCCCAGTATGGCCCTGTTAAAACCATGGCCTTATGTTCTTTCAAAATATGATACCCCTGTAGCATGATATGGCCCAGGCCTCGAGGAACGGGGCACTCAGGGATGGAGAATTGTCCTCACTGACAGGGTTTGTCATCTCTGCGGGTAAAAAGAAATAGGACATCGGGGTTTGGGGCTTACCTGGTTTTCTTTAGTGTCATAGGGAGATAGTGGGAGATTAAAAAAAAAAAAGTGAGGGGAGTAGATCCACCAGGGCCTTGGGCATTTTCTCAGTGAACTGTTTCCTTTGGCTCCAGTGAGAATATTTCTGTCTTACTTACGAAAAGAGAAGGAAGTACCTAGTTTAAAGAACAAAACCAGCCATAACCGGTTTGGTTCAGTGGATAGAGTATCAGCCTGCGGACTGAAAGGTCCCAGGTTCGATTCCTTGGTTGCGGGCACATCCCTCGTGGGGGGTGTGCAAGAGGCAGTTGATCGATGTTCCTCTCTCATCGATGTTTCTAACTCTCTATCCCTCTCTCTTCCTCTCTGTAAAAAAAATCAATAAAATATATTTTTTAAAAAAAGAACAAAACCAAACCTTCCTTATTGCCTCTCTTTGTGCTTATCAAGCCTTCAGCCTATCCATTACCCTCAGTGTGAGCTATTTACCCAGAAGAGATGAATCCAGGCCACCATGAAGATGGTGCACCAGGGACACCAATACCCTCTCACCCAGCCTCTCTCCTAAAGAGATCACGAGCGAGGGCACATGATCAGGGAAACTCCCAGCTGCTTCCGCCCTTAAATGAGAGGACAGAGGAATAGGTTCTATACTTAAGAAAAGGGAACTCTTTTCATTCTAGGGCTGTAAGAGTTATGAGCAGGTGAAGCTATGGCTCTGATGGCTGGACCATTTTGGGAAACAAGATGCAAGCAAGGGAGTAATATACAAAGTTGGGTGTATTTGGCAGGTTTGAGGCAAGCATAAAGGAGAGTTTGGATACTCTGTAAAAAACACACAAAAGATCTAAAGTTCAAACTTCTGATAAGGCCACAATGAAGAGATTTCCAGCAGTGGGTGTTGCAGGAAGCTGGCACCAAATCGCCACAGGCTCGAAAGGTGGTGTGCCAAGGTGAGGAGGCAGGAGAGGCAGGGCAGTGCCTCTCACAGGTCCATGTCTGGGCCTCCTGAGGATGTCTTCAGTGGCACCGAGTCAAATCCATCAGGAGTCCTCTGAAAGAGAGATGGTGACAGGAGCTGGCTGCTGCACAGGGGCAAGTTGGGGGAACAAAGGAGAGAAATGGAAAATAGGTGACAGAAGGAACCCTTAGGGAACTCCTGCTTCCAGTGGCTTTGTGGAAACAGACATAAGCTACCCTCTATTCTTGCTCCCTTCAGTTAGCTAGATTTTAAGAAAAATCTTTGCTTTGCATCTTTGTGGAAGTTCCAGAAAGACTCAAGCATCCCAGGGTAAATTGTTCTCCCACCAATAAAAAATAAATGAAAAAATCAAGGCCTAAGAAGGCCAAGGAGCCATCCTGGTAGGTCAGCACAAAGGATATGAGATTCGGCTGTCTAAACACCCATCCCTCCTGTCCTCTCCTACTGTCTTACCACCCTCCCTGCCCACACCTGTTCGGATGAGTTGGTTCAGGGCACCAGTGAGGTGTGGGTACTGGCCGAGTGGGGTTGCAGAGGGCTGTGGCCCTGGAGGAGTTGCTTGGATGCTCACTGCTGGCTTCACGCCCAGTGACAGTGCTGTCTGACTTGTATTAAATGAGCTTCAAACTCGCTCACCCACCCACGCAAAACCACGCTCCCAGGTCAGAATTGCTCAGTGCTGAGCAGCTTAGACTTAGCTATGACTCAGCCCCCAGGGGGCCAGGGCCAAACGTCTGGGGAACAGCACCCACCACTGGCCAAAGGAGAGCCTGACTTCTAGCCGAAGTTGATCTAGAGATCACCTCTTCCCCTCCTTCCAAAAGAAAAGAAAGGGGGGAAATGATTCTTACAACATGGATGGTTCACTACTCCTCCTGGAAGTTGAAAGGCCCAAACAGTTCATCAACTGGAGTTGGGAGAGAAGGAGCCTGGTCAAGAGCAGCCTTGGGCCCCAGGGAAAAGAGTATTGGTATGAAAATACAGAAGGCAGAAGCCAGGATTTTCAGGGTTGGGGGACAGAAGAGTGTGGCAGGTGGGGAGCAAAGCAGTGGTCCCGGAACAACGTGGGGCCATTCAGCGCCCTTGGACTGGTGTCTTCTCCAGCCCTCCAGGCTGACCTCGGTGCACTGGCCAGGCTCCCTACCTTGGAGGTAAATGATTTGATCTTCCCAAAGAGGGTCTTCTTGCTGGTATAGAGGAGGTCATCCTCCACGTCCTCGCCTTCCATGATGGCGCAGCTGTCGGCTGCTGGCAGGTCGTAGTCCTTGAGGGAAGCGTTCATCACCAGCTTGGAGTACTTGTACTCTAGTCTGTGAAACGGGAAAGGGAAAGACAAGACACCAAAATGAGGAATAAACAGAAACAGGAGAGAAGATGGGCTGTGAACAGATCTTCCCATTCCATGGGTAAGGAAACTCAAGCCTAGAAAGCGGTGTTAGGCTGGGCATATGGCTAAGCAATCTTGGCTCCCAGGTCAGCGACCTTTTTTCCTTAAGACTGGCTGTTTCTTTGATCTAAAAGCTTAATAGAAATATTGGAATTGTAAAGTCACTTTTATTATTATTAACAACAAATTAAGGATGCTCTTTGCTTTGCTTTGGAGACTCTAACAGCTATTTATAGACTGCCATGTGGTACCATCCCTCTTCAGGAGTCAGGACAACCAAGGCATACCCTTCCTCCACTGGGGTCCCCACCCTGTGCGTTTCTGCTGACATCAGATGAGAGCCAGTGTACACTGTCTGAGCTCTAGCATGCTGCCCAACCAACCCCTCAGAGGCTCAGCATGTCTCTAGCCAGGGTCACGGGGTCTGTGGCTGACTCCAGAAAAAGGCTCCATGAATTTACTCTCTTGAGATGATCTCCTCCCAACCCTGTCCATCCCCAAACTCCAATACCCATCATCATGTACTTTTGATTCTTTTTCCAAAAGTAGCAGGTCAAGACGGTGAGCAGGATGGCAGTGCAGGTGCCCGCAGAGATGCCCACTTTCAGCCAGAAATCTATAGTTTTGCAGATGGTGATTCTCTGCTCAGGCAGAGAGTCGCCGCCCACGCATAGCTTTGGTTCTCGCCACACATAGGTAGTCTTCTGTTGGGGAGAGAAACAAGCAACTCAGATATCACATTCCCTTCTCTCCTGGGAACTCTCCAAGCAGAGAAACCTACCTGGATCCCAGCCACGCAGCTGCTGACGATAGCGTGGTAGTCATCGGCCGAGCAGAGCGGACAAGCGGCTGCGCTCTCCCACAGGAAGTGGAAGGTACAGCCATCACAGGTCCCATCAGAGCACGTGCTAGAAAGCAAAGAGGAGACTTGAGCTCACTCGCTGGATCAGTGGAGAAAATCTGTTTGGAGTCCTATCATCGCAGAGCTCACCTGATCCATCTCCTTACCAACCTGTTAGCCTCACTAGGATCCTTCCAAATAGGCCTTAAATCAGGTTTTGCTCTCTAATTTCCCTGATGACAAGATGCCTCCCCAACCTCCACTGGGCTCCCCCCCTGTGCGTTTCTGCTGACATCAGATGAGAGCCAGTGTACACTGTCTGAGCTCTAGCATGCTGCCCAACCAACCCCTCACAGGCTCCTGTTCTCCCGGTGGACGTATGACATTTTTCAAAAGCCACTTTGATGCAGCTTCCTGGCGGTGGGGGTCAAGGATGGACTTTAGGTCATGGATATTTAGTTCCTTTCCTGTGATGTTGACAACAAGAACAGGGATCTTACATGGTTGAGTTAAATGTCTTGTTTTGTTCCCCATCTCCCTGGTCAGTTGTTTAGGAGCAGTGTTTCCCAAACCGTCTCCCTCAAGGCACTAGTTCCCCTTGAGATGTTAGTTGGTGTGACTTGAAAAAGAAGGGGGGGGCGGGGCGGAGATGAGGGGTGCTGTAACCAAATTAGTTTGGGAATTCTCGATTTACTGCACTCAGCTCTTAAACTCAGAATTGGATCTTTTAGTTATGGAGGGATTTCTAGGATTCCCTAAACCAGTGGTTCTCAACCTTCTGGCCCTTTAAATACAGTTCCTCATGTTGTGACCCAACCATGAAATTATTTTCGTTGCTACTTCATAACTGTAATGTTGCTACTGTTAGGAATTGTAATGTAAATATCTGATATGCAGGATGGTCTTAGGTGACCCCTGTGAAAGGGTCGTTCGACCGCCAAAGGGGTCGCGACCCACAGGTTGAGAACCGCTGCCCTAAACCCTTATTAATCCTAATTGTAGCAAGTACACGCCAGGCACCCTGAGAAGTCCTCCAGTCTCAATGTCTTATTTCATTCTCACAAGGACCCTCTGAGGGAACTTCTTATTATCCCCATGTTATAAATAAGGGAGAAGAAACCTACAGAAGAGGAGAAATGTATCCACGACAACAGGGCTTGCGAGCAGAGGAGATGAATCACATCTGCTCTCGGCCCCAGCAGTTTGCCACTTTGCTATGCAACTGCTCCCATAACCGTCTGGAAATGTGAAGGCAGCTTTGACTCTTCCCTCTGCTCCTTTCTCAACATCTGAAGATGGAGGGTTTGGAGCACAACCATGTTCTCAAGAGCCCAATAATGGCTCCCCGACTGTTTTCTTGTTTGCTCTTTTTTGGTAATCTCTGCCTCTTAGGATGGAACAACTCCAAGGAAGGGCGACTTTGTTACCCGTTTACCTGGGCAGGGACAGACTTCCCGGGGCAGGCTTCAGTGGACTGCATCTGACTCGGATGGTGGTGGCCCTCCCAGAACTGCAGGACTGAGTCACCTCATTGGACCTGCAGTGAAAGCCAGCCCCCATGGGGGAAATGAGTCACTCATTTGTGCCACTGGAGAGCCACTAAGTGAAGTCAACACGGAGCAGGTCCCTTGCTGGGGAAGTCAGGACTTGGGCTGTAGCCTGCCACACAGGGAGTGCACAGCCCTTGGTTTACTTGGAGCAAGTAGGGGTCAGGAAGATGTGGTCCAGGGGAAATGCGCTGGCCTAGGAAAGGTCAGCGTGTGCATAGCACTGAGTGTCCTTAGGTGAGAAGAGAAGTCTACAGACCATCCAGTGTTACTCCTTGTCTCTAAGACAGACCTGCCCAGGAATACCCAAGAAGCTGGGATCAGGGGACTCCCAGCCTTTAGCTATCATTGCTAGGCAGACCTGTTAGACCTTGGGCATGGTCTGGCTCGATAAGTATTAAATGGCTAGAAGGGGTGGGGCGTGCAACAGAAAGTGTGGAGGAGCCCTAAGTTTCACTTGCATTAGTCTGGCCTCCCATCGTCACCTATAAAAGAAGATCACGTCCGGTATTCCCAAGGATTCTGGGTGGAAAAGTTCAGCCGGAGAGGTGATTCCATCCACAGTCATATATGTTGTCACCTCTGCCAAATCAGAGCTCCTGATTAGTTCTCACCGGCAGCCACTTCAATTATTTCAATACCCATCAACGTCCAATCTTCCTTCATCTCATCACATCCCCTAGTGGCTCATGAAAGGGTGAACTGCAGGTTTGTCAGAAGCCCCTGGGGCACTTGGCACCCCAGGATGAATAGGAAACAGGTCAGAGGTTGGGCCCCTCCTTGGGAGCCCTTACCTCGGAGCCTGGTAGCCTCACTCTCTCTTACAGGCACACACTCAAACAGGCTGGAGCAGCTGGGCTACTCACCGACAAGCCGATCAGCGAGGCTGACAGGCTGCGAGGACACTCCAGCCTTGTAGCCTGTCACCTCTGGAGGAATGATGAGCGCCTGGCAGACGTAGGCCGTGATGGATTTGGAGAAACCTGACTCCCCCTCAGGAATCCGGAGGTCAGTGACATTCTCAGTGCACACAGCCATTTTCTTACCCTGGGCGGGGAGGTGGGGAGGAAGAAATAGGAAGGAGAGAATGGTCACAGAGCTTTCAAAGGGAATGGGGACATTTTTTTTAATGTCTAAAATTTTTAGTCTTCTAATGGTATGTTGCAGTGGAATGATTCATCCCAGATCTAATTATAAGGAGCTTAAAAAAAAAAGCTAAAAATAAGGCCTAGGTGTCCTAGTTTCTGGAACTCTGGCCCAGGGGATCCCAGTCTTTTTGTTTCGTTGGAGTCCTGTGGGGACCCTATATGAGCACGGTTGTAATGGTGGCAACTGATTGGGAGATCTAATCTATTAATTAAGGGCCTTCCTTATCATAGTCCGTTTTCTAGACAGATACTGAAAGATGTGACTGACCCCATGAAGGTTTTTGAACATCTGGCCTGGGTCACATTCCTTCTCTGTGTCTCCCTTGGTGCAGTGATTCCACCATGCTGGTCTCTGAAGCACTTCCCAGACAGCAGCTCCCAGGGGTTAAAACAGACCCCATCCCTAACCCCTTCTCTGCCTTGAGATAGGCCATCTTAGGACCAAGTGGAACCTATTCCGTTTTTTAAAAAATCATTAAGAGAGCCCTAGCTGGTTTGGCTCACAGGACAGAGCGTTGGCCTGCAGACGGAAGGGTTCTGGGTTTGATCCCGGTCAAGGGCATATGCCTGGGTTGTGGGCTCGATCCCCAGTGTGGGGCCTGCAGGAGGCAGCCGATCAATGATTCTCTCTCATCATTGATGTTTCTATCTCTCTCTCTCTTTCTCCTGCATAGTTTTTATATACTTGTGAGGGAATGAAGGTCAGGGAGGAGTAAATGGACAACTTATTTAAAACACTTTTATTTTCCTAAATTTTTATAATCCAAATGACTTAATTTTAAAGGAGGGAGGCCTCAAAGAGAGGAGTAATCATTTGAAAGGCGTTCATCTCCTCAATCTCCTGCCTGAAGGTTTGCTAGCTTTTCTTCTGTGTCCTTCTCTGGCCTCCGGTCCACTGGTAACCCCTCTCAGTTCTCACACCATCGGCTCTCGCACACCTTACCTGGTTTCCACAGAGACTGAAGGTGAAGTGATGGAAATATTTCAGCCCTTTGGAAGTGAAACTTGGCCCTCCAGCCAGAGAGACGGGGTTTGCCAGAGCCGAGAAGTTGTAGTCTAACGACCGGCTCCCAGAGCTGACTGAGAAGGTGCAGTCGTTGTAGCACACAGTGTGGATCTGAGGGGAAAGAGGTTGTCAGCCGGCTGCGGCAGGGCCTTTGAGGGGACCACAGCAGAGACCCAGCCTGGTGCAGCCCACGTGGGTAGAAGAAGAAGCAGGGAGTGCAGGTGAGCACTAGAAGAAGTGAAGCAGTGGCTGGTGGGGCTTATGTACATCTTGCCATTCAATCATTAGCACATGTATGATGTACGAACCTAAACCTGTTGTTTTCTAGTAAGTAGTTGGGTCAGATTCCATAGCTTTGTCCCTATGCTTAGATTATAGAACTCTCAAGGCACAAGACGGCTGTTCTTACTTTCAAGCAGAAGACAACAAACGAGGTGCTAACTCGAAGAAGGAAGTCCAGGATGGCAGGAGAGAAACTACAAGCCTTGATCCTCCCCCCATTTTAAACTAATTGAACCCTAATTCCTCTTTCCCAGGGTCTCTGTAGGAAACTGAACTTCAGAGGAGGCTTTATTCCCCATAAACCCCCTTCCTTACTCCGTTTTAGGGTCCTCATTCAGCTGCTGCCTTACACAACTGTCATTCCCTCCCTTGACAGCAGAGGGAGCCCTCGGAGAACAAGTGTGTGGCTAAAGTCCAGAAAGCCCCAAAGACGCTGCCAGGATCTGCAGAATGTTGCACTTACTGCACAGCTAAACTGAACAACGTTTTGCAGACTATACATAATGCCTTACAGATGTATGCCCATGTGGTTGTGGTCAGTAAAACACAAATTCACTTAAAAGCATTAATGAATATTTAAGAGCTTTTAGCCAGAGTACTTTCCTAGATTCAGACAGCACTGCTTTATAAGAAACCACTTGGATAGAAGACAGCAATGCCAATTAACCATATGTCCCAGCAAAGGTGGGTTACCTTCCCAAAGGAGAGGGGGCAGATTCCCATGATAAGAGGCTGGAGTGAAGTAGGTCTGAATTTGAGCCACAGGTCCCACTGTTTCTTCCCTTCAGGCCACTGCCCAGATGCCAAATAACCCTTGGGACCAGACGGTCACAGATCTCCCTTACCCATCTCTTGAAGATGAGGCTTGTTCACGACTGAGGCCTAGCCCCTGACAACCAACTTCTACAGGTAAGAACGTGCCATCCATGGTCACAGCCTGGATGGGTGTCCTCCAGGACTCCACCCTGGGAGTATGCTATGGGGAACACTTGGGGATCAGCCCCTCCAGAACCCCATCCAGGACCTGGCACCCTCTGAGGTGAGGATGCACGTCACGCTGCTGGCACCTTGTTGCTCTGGGTCCCTGAGCCACAGGGCTTGCAGGCCTGGACTCCATAGGGCTGGTGGGCTTTCAGGATGGTGTTAGGGGGGCAGGAGTGGCAGGTTCCTGAATCCCGGTTAATGTAGTAGCCAGCAGGACAGGAGGTACAGGAGGAGCCCATGTCAGAGGCTTCCAGGGCGCAGGGCCGACAGTAGGAGGCCACCCCATTCATGGCATTGGTGACATTGATGGAATAGATCTTGGCGATATCGTTGGTGTACTTTCTGCCCTGGAAACAAGGAAACAAGCGGAGAGGGCAGAGGATTGAGACACCAGCAGCAATTGAGTTCTCCGGAAATAGTAAATTACTGCTTAATCTTTGTATCTGTAATACTTGAGAAAAGTCTGATAAGCAGCTTCTTCCTTTATGTACATTTTGTGTCATTTTTTAAAGCAAATCTGAACCATTTAAAAATGATGTCTAAAAATATTAAGTGCCATGGGGGAAATATGCAGTAGAGATTGTTATATGAAAAAAGTGGGTCTTGCCCATGGCCAGTGTGGCTCAGTTCATTGGAATAGCATCTCGTGCACAGAGGGTCACGGGTTTGATTCCCAGTCAGGGCATATACCCAGGTTTAGTCCCCAGTTGGGGCGTGTGTGGGAAACAACTGATTGATGTTTTCTCTCTCACATGGATGTTTCTCTCTCTCACCCTCTCCCTTCCTCTCTCTCTAAAATCAATTTTTTAAAAAGAAAGAAAAAAGGCAGGTCCTTTATCTGTGAAAGGAAAAAAAATGTATTTGTAGAATATCTCCTGGATAGGAGGTACTTAGCTGTTAACTGGGTTTTCTCTGGGTAGTAGGATTATAGGTGATACCCCCCCCTCTCTCTTTCTCTCTCTCTCTCTCTCTCTCTCTCTCTCTCTCTCTCTCTCTCTCTTCTTTTTACCTTCTAAGTTTCCTGCAATTAATTTGCATTAAATTGAGTGAAAAAAATAAAACCAGAGTTATTATTATTAAAAACAACAAACAACAACAGGGATGAACAGGATGTACAGGTGAGGTACCACACTTGTCCTCAGGGCAGGGCTGCTGAGGGGACAAGGTGAGTCATTTGGACAAGGCTCGGTGCTTCTCAGGGGCCTGGAATAGGCAGTTCTCGGCTTGACCCCTTAAGATCCTTCTAATCCTTGGGGTCAGACCCTCCCACTCCCACTCAAACTAATGCTAAGGATCCTCCTGGGTTCAGAGGTCTCTCTGGGAGCCAGGGGTCTGAAGAAGGGGAGGTGCTTACGATCTCGTGGAAAGTGGTCCTCTGGAAGGCCCAGGTGAAGCTCACGGTAGCGTTCTTCTCAACGATGTAGGTGAAGGACTGCTTGCCTTTAGAGCCTTTCCACGTCTCCACGGGAGTGTTGGCCCTAGAATTCACACCCTGAACCCAAGACAGACAGTGAAGAAGGCATGATGGCTGGGTGGCTGCTGGGGAAGAGCCCCCCGGGGGCCATCTGCCGTCCCAGGGGCCATCACAGTTGGCCAGATCCATGTTAAACGGGGAAGCCCCTGATGGGCAGTCTGGGCCCCTCCCCTGTGAAATCACTATGAGCAGGGGTATCAGTTATGTTGATGCACCAATGGGGCCGAGGAGGCCAACCCTCCCTTCCTGGGAACCCCATCACAAACAAAGAAAGGAAAACATACCACCATGAAGTAGAGCTCACAGTTCACAGAACAGATGGTCTCAAAGACAAATGTGATCCTGGCCACCTCTTTGTTCTCTGTGTCCGCCATCACCGACTGTGGAGGTCTGTGGGCCAGAAGTTAAAAGTCAGTTCAGAGGCCGGGCAGTGCTTATTGCAGAGCCCAGAGAGCAGCAGAGGGTCTGTTGGAGGGCTCGGGGATTGGGGCGGGGCGGGGGGGGGGGGGCGAGGGGCGGGATTAAGCTCCTGGTATATTGGAAAGAGCATGTACGAAGTCCAATCCTGCCCCTTAGCTATGTGACCCTGATGTAGCCAAACTGTAGTTTTCTCATCTGTAAAATGGAGGTAATAATATCTTCCTTCTTCATCTCCCATCACTGTGATGAAATCTTAAAAGTCACACCAGATGGGGAGGTGCTGTGTGAAATGCTGGACAGCCTCACCAGCAGAGTGCGGTCCCCAGACCAGCAGCATCGCGCCACCTAGAGCTCACTAGACCCCCTGAGTCAGAATCCGCACATTGACCTGATCCCCAGGTGATGCACATGGGCATTAACGTTGTAGAAGCACCGCTATCATGAGATGCACATTGTCTACATTCACTTAGCAGCTCTCTCTTGGGGATGGTGAGAGCTTTGCCTGGGTTCAATGAGCAGGTAGTTCAGTTTGTAATCTCTTCAGCGAAGTTCTCAGGGTGCTCCTTCCTTTGGGGAAGAGAGCCAGCTACAAAGCCAAAGCGGGGAGGGAGTGGGTGAGGTGCGGGAGCCTTTACCATGGTGATCAGATTTGCAAATCGAAACGTGCCCCCATAAAAGCCTAAAGAGTTTTCTTATCTCAAACATGGGCTATATCTGCTCAGCCCTGAGTAACGTGAATTAAGGGAAGGGAAACGAATACCTTTCAAGCCACCACCGTGGACCGAGCACCGTCCAGGGATGGAAAGGAGGGAGCTTGGAGGAGGGAATGGAGAGGCCAGCCTGGCAGTCAGGAAGCCCAGTCACTGGTTCCCCCTCATCTTTCAAGTGCACAAGAGTTCACTTTGGCTTTGGAAATCCACACAGGGCCTTTTCCCGGCTGTGGCCATTTGCTTGAATTCTGAGGACCTGCAGGCCCAGGCTCACAGTTGTACTAACAAGTGGACTGAAGAGTCATCTCAGCCTGAGCTAGTCCAAATTCACACTGTCAATCCCCTGGTTTTACAGACCAGGGGCCTAATGCCTATAGGGGCACGATGACTGCCAAGTTCACAAAGCCAGTAGGTGGCAACATTCAAGTGCCCTGTCTTACAGTCTAGTGCTCATTCCATAGTACCACACTGCCTGTAGTATTTTTTTAATGGTAAACAAATTGCTTTTTGTCCTAGGTCTTCTTGAATAAGTGGATAAATATGATAAGAACAATCCCTCCCAATCTTCTTGCCCCAAGTAAAAATGAACTATCTATGGGCACTGCTGGTCCTATTAAAAAGGTTTTTTTAATTGTATCTGATACTGTGAGGAGGAAGGCTTTAAGTAGCATGTGGCCAGTGTGGAAGGAGCTAGATGGGACGGGAGAGTGGTAGGTAAATTAGCATGGGCAGCGAGTAAGACCCTGGGTCAGGGTCAGGTTCTCACTGTCAGACCATTGCCGTGCTGTCTGTCTGTCTGAACTGCTGCTTCAGCATGCAGAGCCCTCTCCCTACTGCATTCCAAGGTATGTGGGACATGGATGTGGCCAAGGGGGCGCTGGCTTCCCCTTAGTTTTGCATTCCTCACCTAAATCCTGGCACAACCAGAGTGAGGATCATGAAGTCATTGTCCGAGGCTCCAGCCGCCGTGTAAATGTAATCCCCGGCCACCTCCCAGCCTGGAAGGAGAGCAGAGAGTTAACGCCCCAGTGGTGTTGGGTGCAGGGCACGCATGCGTCCCGATGACACTCTGGAACCACTGCCGGACACAACCATGTCACACCTGTCCCACTACTTTGGTCAAAGACTCTGAAGCTCTCAGAGCAAGACCTTTGGGGCATGTGCATGCTGTTTCTAGTTCAGTTTTTGTCTCTGAAACGAGATTTGGCAGAAGACATGCCCATGAGGAGTGGAACTTTCCAGGGAATCGTGGCCTGGTTAGCTCATTTCCCCCTAGACATCATGAGTATGAAAATATGTGACGTAGGAAGAGCCCCCGTGGGTGCGTGGCAAGGGGAGAGGCCCTTACCTGTCATGCCCTTGTACTCAAAGTTGGTCCCGCTGAGAACGGTCGTTTCCATGTTCGTGGGCAGTGTGTTCCACCATTTGTATTCGAATCCCATGACAGGCTCAGTGCCAGCTGGGCAGTGGCTACAATCTGGGGGGACCACAGATCCATGCATTCAGCGAGAAGGCTGCAGCCACCCTGACCGGGGCTGCTGTCACACGGACAAGTGGCAACCGTCGTGGGCAGCCAATCAAGGGAGTGCTGAGTACTGCTGCACAGTGATATGAAGTTGACCAAAAACATTCTGGCAATGTATTTAACAGGCTCAAGCTGCACACGCTGACCCTTCCTTCCCACGTTCCAGCTATCCTCCTTGCCCACCTAATTTTTCTTTTCCAAATGTAGACGTATCTTCTGGCCTGACCCATACAGTTCATGTTACTTGTCACATTATGAGCAGTACATGCATTCACATGAATAGGTACACAAATTCCCCCAACTCCTCTCTGCAGCATGGCTCACAGGTCCATATGTGTCCAGCTGGCCCTCCCAGCTCCCAGACCTTCCCGGTTAGCATCCCTGCCACCAGCTGGGAGCCTCGGGGCGGGGGGGGGGTGGGGGGGGGGATGGCGCCCCTGCAGGCCTGAGTCACAGTGGCAGTTGGAATGAGAAGAGCAGGCAGTTCATTCTCAAGTGTGACTGTGACCTACAGACAGCCCATCCTGACTGCTCGTCTCCTGAACTTAGTCCTCGGGGGTGTCCCAGCCCTCACTGCCTCCCTCGGAAGGTGCTGTGGAAATGGATGAGATGCAGGGAACAGGCAGTAAAGGGGCGTTACCAGAGCCGTTGGAGTAAGAGCCATAAGGGCAGGGCTCGCAGGTGCTGTTGTCAGTTTTGAAGAAGCCTGGGTTGCATGGCGGGCAGCGGGTCTTCACGCCAGAGGCGGGCAGCTTCACCGCCCCCTCGAGATCCTCGTTACAGATTTTCGGCTGGGCCCATTTGTACATGAGCTGCGTCTGCAGAAATGGATCAAGAACGGCTCAGCCTGTACGCAGCTTAGCACATCTTTAGGAAAGTTGACTTTGAGGACAGGGAGATTCTGGGCTATAGTGAAAACTCCACCAGGGCGGGGGTCTTTATCTTGGTCACTGATGTATCCCAAGCACCTAGCCCAGCACCTGGCACATGGTTGTGCTCAATAAATGCATTTGAATGCATGTTGACTGGGTGAAAGGGGATATACCTAATGATGACTTGTGTGACATGGGGTGGGGGGACCAGTTGTCTTCAGAGAAAGCTCGGATTCCAATGTAGAATCACAGGAAAAGCAGCTGGTAAATCCCAGAGCACAGAAAGGCATGAATGGAATCCCCAGTTTGTCTCTTGGGTGCTGTCTTTGCTTTTGCATTTATTCAGAAAACTAGTAACATCTGTATGTCAGACCTGGAGACTCAGAGATGGTGAGAGAGACAGGGCAACAGTCACATAATAACAATCCACATGGGGGTATGGACACTGTGTTCTGGGACATCAAGGCTTTGATCAAGCCTATGTTGGCCAAAGGCTACAAACTTCCAGTGATAAGGCCATTATGCTCTGGGGATGTAGTGTACAGCATGGTGATTACAGTTCGTAATAACGGATCATATACTTGAGAGTTGCTACGAGTGTAGATCTTAAATGTTCTCACCATAAAAAAAAAAGAAATGGTAATTATGTGATGTGATGGAGGTGTTAGCCAATGCTCTGATGCTCATCGTTTTGCAGAATGTGAGGGTATCAGATCAACATGCTGCACACCTTCAACTCACACAGTCTTACATGTCAGTGACGTCGCAATAAAGCTGGGGGTGGGAGGCAAGAGGCCAGTGGACAAGAGAAGCAGCACCCTACAGATCGAGAAGGCCTTGGCCCAAGCGGGAGGGGAGAGTGGGGCAGAAGGGAGCAAAGACGGGCACATTCAGCCACATGATGTGCCCAGAGAGGAGAAGAGGAGCAGGACTGTCCTCATGAAATCAGGGAGTCAGCTGAGGCCAAGAAAATGGCAATTTTTACAAGATCAGATGGAACACCAGATGCTGCAGAACTGAGTCTGAGGCGCAGCTGATAAGATACACGGCAATTCCCGCTTGCTGCTGGGGGAAGGAGATGCTGCTGCAAACATGAGGGCCGGGCGGGGGCGGGAATGAGAAGATGACTGAAAACAGTCGCTGCTAGGACCAGCCTTTATCCTGTG